TCAACGGCCCGAGAAGTGTATTGCTGAGGACGACCCACATAAGAACGCTGCAAAAAACGTAGCACTAATGACGATTCTCAGAGGAAGATAACTAGCAGTGCTTCACCATTTGGGGCGTAAGTTGTGGAAAGCAGGGTGACAATGTTCGGGTTGTAAACCAAGGCGAAAAGTCAATATTCTCGGAATCCGATAGCTATCATTGTGGACACCACTGCGAGGGGGAAGAATAAACATAGCCATCAAATGCGGACAGGCGAAAGATACGCGTTGGGGAAGGATTGAAGTGAACCTTTGCGTGGACACGGATATCCGCAATGTTTGATTGACTATCTGACCAGGAGTTCGATGACATTCATGAAGGGGCGCTTCAATGTTCAAATTTGACAGCAAACTCAGAACGAGGCCAAGTATATCGTGTCTCTGCGAGGATTTCTTCCATGGATTATCTGTACGAAATCTCGTGGAATTTGAGGCGCCAGATATTCATAAACTTAAAGGGTCCAACGCGTATGTACGTTCTTCGAAATCAAACACAGCGATGAGACTGGTGAGTACAGTGCAACCTGAGGTGTATCAATCCGTACGGATATCCGATGCAATAGCCACTCGTCAAAGTTTAATTTCAATCCCGTTTCAATTGGGGTTCGCGTTTGACAGCGACTTCGAGCGGGGGTTATCAGAATCTTCTTGAATCCGAAGGTCAAGAATCTACGATCGTAGAGATTGTCCCATGAGAATGGACGCGATGGCCAAATACTGACGTTAAAAAAGTAATTAGATCACGAAGGATCAGGAAATTTTTGATAGCTAGGTTTGCAGGTGAGGTCGATGGTGAGAGGGAGTCAGGAAGACGGACCGAGTGGGAGACGGTTTTTGAAAGGCAGAATGATGTTAACAAAGTAAGATGAAAATGAGCAGGAGAGATTGACATTTATCCATACAGTATGGCTAATTAATGTCAGCTTCCAGAAACGGCGAGTGAGAGTTAGAAAAGATGATAGAAACTAGCGAGGTAACCAATAAGGTGCTGAAAGCGGAGATTCTAGAAAAAGTAGGACTGACCAGCGTTTAGTGGGGGAATTATCAATTTATCCAGGAACTTTACTTATCAGTATTGCGGATTCGTCAGTACGTACTTTGGGACATAGCAGCTATAACAATGATTGACAGGAAATGGTTCGGTAAAAGAAATCTGCGTTAGCGAACGAACATGGAAGGAAGAGGGGAGTTGAGGCGTGAGAAACCTAGAAAGTCATGCAGCTCGAACTTCTTCAGAAACTTTCCGCGTCCAAAGCCTACTGTCAGTATATAGGCAAGTAGGTTCTCTGTGTAACGTAAACACAATCTAATATAGATTTAACTTTACAGAATGAAATGCATACGAAACTCGGGGGCAAAATCAACTCATTTGATCTTGAACCATAGGACATCTTCAGTGCTTCTTTGGTAAATTCAGAATGCCAGTCACAAAAGGTACATCAGCCTCGCTCCCCAAATCACTTACACGAACTCACCCTGGTTCTGACTTTGCATTCCAGGTAAATTAAAATGGAAACATCGATTTCCGCTGGCTCCTTCGAGCTTTCAAACTTTAATCTCTGCTCAGTTGGTGCTTGTAATCCTTCCAGGAATCCGGGTTCAAGTAGTTTAGCCTAACACCATCGCTCCATCAGAAGACCTGTGTGGTACCAAATGGGGCCCTCGGAAGAGGCATTGCAGGGCAACATTGACTTGAACTTCCTCTTTCTCCGCTTTATGCTACATAAACCCTGACCACGTTGATTTTGCATCGTGTTATCTTGCACCATCGCACTTCATTCTTCGCTAACATGTCGTTCCAATACGCCTTTCTCGATCCGTTCGCGTATTTCGACACGCCGCGAGAGAATCTACCGGCTCCCTCCCGTCTTTCTGGATCTCATCCAGGGCCTATAGGGAATCCCAAAGAGGGTCTAGACACCAATCCCTTCTCCTCTATCAAATTCTTCAACACGCCTCTTCAACTAGGCTATGAGGAATCAGCCCGCTTGCCCTTATCGGAGGCCGGAACCACACAGGTGAATTCATTCTCCCATGCACTGGTGATGTATCAACAAGATGCGCCTGTGTATGCACTCGATCTGGACGGACAGGGTACCATATCCGTGTCTGTATCCGCTGCCGCGGAACTGTGCATCTGCATCAGTTCTACCGACCGCTCGCGTCCATCGCTGTACCTCGATATCAACCCGACGTCCTGCACGTTTTCATACGGGTACTACACTTCTGCAACTGTGATTCCCGCTCGACCACCGCCCGAATCACCATATATCGGAGCTGGGGGAGGTGTAGGAAGCGGGCCGGGGATGTATCTGGATGTAAACCGGCAGACCACATATTGGCTGTCGATCGATTGTCCTAATGGAATCCTAAAGTACGGGAAGGGATACCTGAGCTCGAATCTCACGTTGTTAGAAGCTCGACTCAAGAAAGTGGACGATCATGGTTGTATGATCTGGCCTGAGGACACATGGACCTTCCTTGAAAACCTAAAGGAGGTTAGAGTTCTCCAAACAGGAGGTGATATGGTAAGAACCCTCTTTACATGTTATTCGTATTCCTATTTGCATGCAAATTCAACTATGCATCTATTCTAGCGTTCACTCTCTGTGACGACGCAGACACTCCCACTGGTGGATGCTCCGTCACCCTACGTTATCCCAGATTATCGGATCTCGATGAATGACCTCGAATCAAACGACTACACGGTCGTTGCAAATCTACCCGTGGAGTGTCAGGTGAGCTCCAGCAGTCACTTTGTCGCTCCCGACGAACATCAACTTACCGCCTGCAATGATCTATTCACTGCTTCGGATTCGCTCACCCACAACTTGGCCACGCCCAATCTATCTTCTGATTTGGACAATGCCGCCGATGCTACCATGTTTTCACCATTGGAAAATTCGTTTAACTACTCGCTGACTGCGCCTCCGCCATTGTCATTGCCGGCGGTCGATCCTCCTTCGGGTTCATCTATGACCGCTGTTGCATCCACTCTGTCTACCTCGGCTCCTGCGTCTTCCTCTACCTCCACGTCAACATTATCATCCCCTTTCACCTCTGCACCCCTCGTACGCCGACCAAATGCCAACGCCAACACCAAACACAAAACCGCACCAAAATCCAAACTGAAAATAAATACAAACCTGCGTCGAAAACCTTCCTCGCCGTCTCATCGGTTTATCAAACCTATCCATCAACCTCCCACCGCTCCTGTCTCCGTACCTCTTGCACCTCTTCTATTGCCAACATTACCACCTCTAACTCTCAATACCCTTCACTGTCCGTACTACTCTGCTCACTACCCTCAACCCACCTGCAACACTGCTGCTTCCAAAATCTGCACGGCTGCCGACCCGCAGAAACTATACGCCAACGTTGCCGGCCCCAATATCGTTCTCAACACCCCAGATTTTCCTGCCTTTGGGCGCGCGATTGAACGAAGTGTGAACACTGAGGGGTGCTTAGGCTATAGCTTGCTCATGCGGAAAGCAGGGGAGTTTAGTAAGAAAGGTAAAATTCAAGGAGGAGGAGGAAGAGGTAAGGACGAAAAACCGGATTTGACACAAACGTATCTGAGGATCACGTTGGGTTCTCATATGGTAAGGCGTCACTGACATGTTCTTTCTCCTTGTCTGTCATTTGGATTTGAATGGTTCCTAGAACGAGGTTTTTTTTTTTTTTTCATTTCGGGCTGGTTCTATAAATTCACTGTGATCGATATCTAAACTGATATTCCATATCTCGCTGTTTTTTGTTTCTGGACATTCGGGGGTGAAGATGAGATCGAATTCCAGATCTCTTCTTTTTCATTTAGTCTTTTCGGATTCGGTCTTTCGGATTCAATTTTTACTCCACTTCACGATAACCACGAGCTGAACTGAAATCCGAATCACAGGTCAACTCACCTGGGATCCCATATGTTCTGGAGATCTGGCCTGCAGGTCATTATAGTCCTGTCCATGAACATGCGGACTCGTTCGCTATCATCAAGGTGTGTAGGATTGTTAGAATTATTCATTCATTCATTCTTGTAGCCATTCCTTCCGTATATGTCGCCATCATCCAAGTGGATTACTTATGTTGTCAAATCTATGTTGCTAGGTCCTCTACGGTACTATTAACGCCTTCTTCTACGACTCCCTCGTCAATCCTGGTGGACCACGAATGATCATGGACAAGGTTGAGTTGAACACCGGAGATATCACTTGGATCTCCCCACAGCACTACCAGGTGCATCAGTTGAAAAACCTGAGCAAGCGTAAGGAGGATGGTGGGGAGGGAACGGTTTGTTGTACGCTGCAGTGTTACCAGTCAGTTTTCAAACAACAGCCTACCAATTCATAGTAACGATATAGAACTTAGGTATGCCTACAACGACAAGATACACTACGAAAACTTCCGCTACATCCCCAACTCTAATTCGAATTCATCCTCTCGAAGCTCACCTACCTCGTCTCCCAACGACTCTGGCTACGAATCCGGACCAGACATGATGGATTTTCAACCAAACAGCGATATGTCCTTCGGGGTGTTCAAAGCTGCGATTCGGAGAGAGTGGGAGGATTATATGTCGACAGCTATTGGGAAAAAAGAAGAATCAGAATATTTGGCTAGTGAGAGGGCAAGGATTGCGAAAGGGGATCAGGTGAACTCGGACGTAGCCAAGAAAGCAGCGGAGATGGCAGAGCTGTTGGCAGAGAGAGAGAGGTTGGTTGAGATGGGGTCGATGGAAGCTAGAGCGGAGGCGGTGATGATGGAGGTTGGGCAGTGAATGGCGACCGTATCCGACATATTAAGATAACTGACAGTGTTGAGTTGGACTTAATTTGTATAGATAGGAATACGTAAACCGTACAGCGGTCCGAACAGAAACAGTACACATTCCTTTCCATTAGCGATAGGCTAAGTAAGCCTATAAGTATAAATTAGGCTCAGTCCACGACAAAAAAAATTTAAGAAACCGACGACGGGGATCGAACCCGCAACTTCAGCCTTTCTAGTAAAGATATAGGAAAGCTACGCGCTACCATTGCGCCACGCCGGCAACAATACAAAGAATCAAAAAAATTTGCCATCTTCAGATACCCTCCCTGATTAGGACAGAACAAAGGATAAGCAAGTCACGTGTCCGTCCGCTTGCCTTTGTATTTTGTCGAAATCCGATAAAAGCTCTTTGTGTTTTACAAGAGTCCCTCTTGTATTCTTCCCCCATTCCGCGCTTTTCAACATCTACTTTTTGGACTACCCAAACTGTTATAGAGCTGCCACTCCCAAATTCAAAATAAACAGAAATTTTTGGGATTAAACTCAAATTACAGTTTACATCCGGTATGTTGCCACTTGTATCTGCTTTTGATCGCTTGGTTTGTACTGAAATACCTTGTAGAATGAACCACAATACAGCTTTCCCCTCCCCTTCTTCTCCTCTTGGTGCTCTTTTGCTGGAACTAGCTCGAGACTACGAACGAGCACGACCGAACGACGCGTTACAATTCTGCTCAAATTGGTTCCAATCGAAATTAGAAGAGCAGAGAACTAGAGCAAGAGATGCTTTAGGTTCTTCAGGAGGTTACGGAGAAGTAGGTCGTGGTAGTACCGGGAGCAGTATTGGATTCAACAATCGACAATCCTTCGGCACTCACGGCACACTGAGCCGCCGAACATCAATGTATGTCGACGTTCCTCAGAGCGTGTCGGCAGGAAGTACATCAGGAGGAGCAGGCGACGATGAAGCCATTGATCCGCTCGAAAGAAAAAGAGGCAGCACTAGTTCGAATTTCAGCGCAGGACGAAACAGTCAGAGGGGATCTGTAGCGAATCTAGGTGGAGGGATGTTCAGTAATCCTTTCGGGAAATCGTCCGCCACCCCTCCGCCAAATGTAAATGTACCGCCTACCATTTCCGAGCCATCTTCGTCGAATGTATCGACGACGATAGGATTCACCAATCCTTTTTCTCCTTCTTCCACTCCACTTAGTCCTCTCGCGCCTTTGTCTGCAAATGGATCAGGTCCTGCGCCAGGTGACTTTTTGCATCCCCCAAATAGCGCAATCTTCGCGAGACGCACTAGTGTCAGTGCGGAGAGTATTCCTATCGAGGAACTGGAAGGCGGTAGTGGGTATCTTGGTTAGTTATCTTCCGGTCCCCTTTGCTAGAAAAATTGGTGAATACTAAATAATCTAAAAATTTTCCAGGTAATCCACCTTATCACCCAAAGTCACCCACTCAACTTGCCCGTATAAAATCTTCCATCGCAAATAACTTTATCTTCCGTGATCTGGACGAGGAACAAGAAACCGGCGTTCTCAACGCTATGCAGGAAGTTGCCGTAGACGAAGGCGAAGAAGTCATCAGACAAGGGGATGTAGGAGAATATTTCTACGTCGTCGAGAGTGGTATCTTGGATTGTTATATTAAATCCGAGGGAGGTCACAGTCAAACCCAGAATCAGGTGACAGCCACACCGTCGTCTCCTACTTCGCCAACATCCACAAGTACCTCCTCGTCTTCTGCAGATTCATACCCTCCTCCTCTTCCCTCACATCCGGTTTATGGAGCCCTCGTCGCTTCCTGTCCTCCGGGAACGTCTTTCGGTGAGCTTGCACTGATGTACGGCCATCCCCGCGCAGCAACCGTCTTATCCCGAGTCCCTTCCCTTCTCTGGGCTCTCGATCGTATCACCTTCCGCACAATCATTCTCAAAGCCGCTCATCGTCGTCGAACGATGTACGAAGGATTTCTCAAGGAAGTGGTTCTATTAAAAGGACTCAGTCAGGGTGAAAGAAGTAAAATAGCTGATGCGTTGGTTAGTCGGGTGTATGAGGATGGTGAAAATGTTGTGAAGCAAGGGGAGATGGGCGATACGTTCTTCTTTGTTGAAGAAGGAGAAGCTATTGTTACGAAGAGAGTGCCGAGAGGAGAGAGGAGAGGGTCTGCGTACGTTATGCCACCTGGGCCGAATGGAGGACAAAGAGTCGATAGAGATGCGGACGACGATTTCGAAGAAATTATCGTCGGACGGCTCATCAAAGGTGATTACTTTGGTGAGCTTTCGTTGTTGAGGCTCGCCCCTAGGGCAGCCACAGTCTCTGCCATCGTTCGTGCCCCTGCTCCGTTGGCTCTATTGTCAGCTCCCTTGTCAACGGTAGGTGAAGAACAAGATTCCACACCAAAAACCACCCCAACGTTTAATATTACGCCGTCTTCGCCTGCTGTAGGAAATCCCTTTTCTACATTCCCTCCGTCTTCTTCTTCTTCGATGTTCAACCCCAATGCGAACCCGAATATGTCGAACAATACCATCATCGTTGGAGGCCGACTCGGGCCTAAGCTCAAAGTCGCTGCACTGGATGCACCCGCGTTCACGAGGTTGCTTGGGCCATTGAGGGAGATTATGGAAAGGAGGGCAGGGGAGAGTTATTTGATGTAAGATGCTGAGGAACAGCGTGAATGTAATTGATAAAATTGGACTGTTTTTCCGGCCTGCGGTGAGAAAGACTGTGTTGCTTCCATTGCATGTATTGTGTGTTCTTGTGTCATCTACGCTCATTTATTATGATGATTTATGGGTATCTCGCCGTCGTACCGATGTTGTATATAGAAGTTGTAAATACATTTTCAAGATCCTCGAACACTGTAAGTCACTGTTACCGAGTCATGTGTGCTTGTTTTGGCGAATTTCGTCTGCATTTTTTCTCTTTTTGATATCTCGTTTCTTTTGTGGTCTAAGCTGTAAATTCTTATACTAAAGTTTGAGTACTAAAGGGTTTATTTTCGCAAGCGAGACGCCACCATTAGAAAACAGTCTGCATGAGCCCTTGTTCACGACAAGGTTAAACCAAGACGTTGCTGCGGGTCATTTTCAAAAAGCCTGGCTTTCTGACCTTTCGTCCTCTCTTCCCAACAAAGTCATACTCACACCTTAACACGCACTAACCGTATAGAGTCTATCATGCTATCTTCCGAGGTTATTTCGAATTTGAATTAATCAGCGTCAGCCAAAATTAACCAAGTATCGGGCACTGTATTGGAATCTGGTGGATATATGCTAAGGTACAAGCGCGAATAGAGTTTTGTAGTGGTAGATGTTACTAGTACGTTGGCTCTAGGTAGTGAAGAGGAACACGGACCTGATTTATGGAGCTCAAAGTCCAATGTATTTGAAAATAATCTGTTATTTCTGAGTATCAACGGAAGGTCACCATTGTTTGTTGAATTAAACTGACGGTTCTGATGAGGTAAGCATCGCGTAAATAGACGCGCTGTGGTGCCGAATTGGCGCCCAAGTCGGCTCCACCTCGGGTAAGAATGTCGCGCTTCCACGTCTACATACAACTTTTTCGTTCCATTCTTATTTCATTTCAGCTTCATTCTTGATTGTTTCTTCTTCATGTCCGACGGGCAACACACCACAATCCCAATTCTTATCGAGCTCCCAGCGTATGGGTACACCTTCACAGTTATACTACCCTCTTCAGAGGCCAACAACGTTCTCTCAATCAAGGAAGCGATCTTTCGTACGTGTCCCGGTAATCCTCGCGTCGACGGACAACGAATTATCTGGCGTGGTCGGGTATTAGATAATGTCGAGACTGTAGCGGACTTGTGGCCTGAATCCAACGACGATTTAAGGAGAATCGTTCATCTTAGTGTTCACCCATCGGCATGGACAGGGATGCCACCTATAAAGGAGACTTCGAGGGAGGCAAAGGGTAAAGAGAAGGAGAAAGAGATGGGGAATGTCATTAACCAGCTGCGGTCAGCTGCCGCTACTCCGAGTCTCAAGTCGTCGTCGACGGCGAGTGTTCCGACATTAACCGCATCAAAATCAGCGCCGACGCCGACGCCGAGATCGTCATCGTCACCTACTTCGACTTCGACCGCGTTACCAGCTTATATATTATCCAAGCATCGTCAGGCGTTGTCTGCACTTACTCATGAGCCTTTCACGCCGTCCGACAACGACAAGGAGTCGGCAGTGCAATTCGTCAACGCACATGGTTTTGTGTGGCCTGATATTTTGGATGCACAGTTCCCCAATCTAGTTGGAGGCTCTGAGAAGGGGCTCAGGTACCAGAAGGAAGTTATTGAGTAAGTTTTTAACTTTTATGAGGACAGTCCCGAATTGGGATCTGATTTCATGATGTTAGTGGTCGTCCGTATCTTCGTCTGCTTGATCCTTCTGTATCGCCTACGTCGGTTCAAAGACACGCATTCCATGTCCTCTCGTATACTATGGAATTACTGAAGCTTTCCCCGCTAAAAGCAACGCCCACTTCTTCGACGTCGTCTACCTCCCAAGTTCAGACTCTAGGTGATCCCGCTACAACTCCTGTCCAAGTCCCTGCCCACCTTAATGCTCTCATACAACAAATGGGTTTACCACCCATCAACCATGATTTACCTCCCGGTGTCGTCCAAGTCGTTCAACAGCCTCAGGTAAACCAACAGGGAGTTCAATTTGACTTGAACCAGTTTCTCAACGGGAATAATAACGCCAATCCTGCTAATCCCCATCCTCCCATCCAAATACAACAAATCAACCTCCGACCACTGATCCTTCCTATCCTCATGCTCTCCCTTCGCACACTTCTCCTTCTATATTTTGTCGCTCCGGCACGAAAACCCTTTCTCACGCTTCTGATCCTTGCTTGGGTCGGATGGGAGATTTGGGGTTGGATTGGTGGACTTGGATTGCGTGTAGAAGGTGAGAATCAAGCAGGTAATATTGGTAGAGGTGGAGATGCTGGTGAAGGTGCTGGACAAGCAGGCGTAGCTCAACCACCTCCGATGCAAAATGCGCCAGCGCCAGCACCAAACGGACCCCCCGCCATTGTTCCTGGTAACAACAACAACAACGCTGCTCATCATAATGGTATCATCGAAACACTTGCATCCTTTGACATCGCAGATGGCGAAAGTGCTTTATCTTCGTTCCTTCCTGAATCCGACTTATCAGAACCTGGTTTTCCTAGAAAAGCCTTGTCCTTCCTCGTGTTATTATTCACTACCGTTCATCCGGCGGTATGGAATAGACGCCGGACA